AAGCTGCAGACTGACATTTGACTCAATGAATGATTCACTGCAATTAATCAACATGTGATGCATGATCAAATACGTGACTCATAAAAACTTCCGTCAATTCAGCCATTTGCTCAACTTGTACATCAGCTGCCTCAACTGGTCTAAACTAAATCCTGTGGACTGACGTTTCAGTGACTTCATCATTCACAGGGTGTGGACGTCTTTTCTTTGAGGAGTTTCAGGGCCAACTGAGCTGCTGTGAGTCCAGATGAGCTGCTGCTGCTGCTGCTGTGTTTTTGAAAGGCTAATAACTGTTCCAGTGACCCACACCTCAGTGACTTGGTACACATTCCAGCGGCAGCACTGGTGACTCTGCACATTCCCACACATTAACCTCTCTGTTTTGCCTCCTGTGAGTGGACTGACGTCACAGCCTGAGCCCTCTCCTCTGTGGGAGTCTCTGCGTGAGTCAACCCCCCTCCTCCCCCCTCCCCGCCTGCATTTCTGCCCCCACCAGTGCTCCTGGAAGAGAGCCAGGGGTGACACAGGACATTAACTGTTTAATCCAGAGCTGAGGCTCCGTCCTCTCCTACCTCTAACCCCCTGTGGGAGTGCAGAATGTCTCCGAGTGTTTTCCCTCAGCGGGGAAACTGCCTGAACAGCACATTCTGGTCGCTAGTGTGAATGGAATGTGTGTTGCCTGTGAGAGCACTGCAGGTATAACCGGACTGAGGATGCACCTGTGGTACAAACGTGTACATGAAGTTGTGCAGTGAGGAAATGTGTGAATGGCTGCGGAGCGGTCTTTTTTAATAGCAGCAGAACACATGGTGTGAATGGCACAGTTTGAGTTTCACCGTCACAGAACGGGAAAGTGATGAAGGCAGATTTATGAAGACTTAAAACCATAGGCATGCTACAGGAACATCTGCATCTTCTACCACATAATCCTTTTAATGGGCTTGAATCCTCCAGTCACCACCGAGGGCACAGAACCATTCACCGACAACCATTCACACTCACATCCTTACTGAGCAGCTGACTTAATCCTGTATGATTTTGGACTGTGAGAAAAAAAAACTGCAGAACCTGGAGAACACAGAACATCAGAGTCCATACAGAAAGACCATTAGTGACCACTGGGAGTCGAACCCATTCTCTTTTTTGCTGTAAGGCATGAGCAATAACTGCTGCAATTTTTAATGGAATATTTGATGCAGGACGTTGCATCTCAGGTGTGCAGTAATCCACAGCAGAGCCTGTGCTTTTAGAATATTGTTGCATTTTTGCTTCAAAATCAATAAAAAGACACATTTTCTGTGATTACAGCACGAGGAACAGTGAATTTAATGAAAACTACAGCAGAAAAAAAGGCCAGAGTGGCCATCACTGCTGCTGCTGTTGCTCAGGCTGCATCATCACCATCCTCAGCAGCTACGCAGCAGCAGCAGTGATCTTGATGGTGTCATCATAATGTTTGATGTCGGTGTATACAGTATCTTAATGGCCACTCACTCTGCATATCCCGTCCCCCAGGGCAGCCTGCAGCCTCTCTTTAACGTCAGAACCGGCCGTGACGCGTGCTCGGTGGAGTACTGCAGCAGCTCCGGGGTGAGGTCCAAGAAATCGGGCCGACCGTAGGGGAACCGCGGCGGCAGGTTGTCCTGGCCGCAGCTCTGTCCTCCGGCGCCGCCTGAGTGTTGATGGTTGTGGTTGTGGTGGTGTCCGTGCGGCATCATCCCTCCCACCAGAGTGGACATCGCGTTCTTAACTTTGCTGATCATCATCGGCGGTGAGGCTCGGACACAAACAAACAAATAAACCCACGGCAAATCCAGGCGGAGGAAGACGAAGGAAGGCGGAAATCGATGCAGACGATTCAGAGGTGGTTACGTTTGAAACAGAAAAGAAAAAAGAAAACACTGCTGGTGACGATCGTAGATCATTTCAGGAAGCGATTCTTGTCTTTCCTCCCCGGCCCCATGTGACAGCAACTCGTTTCAGACGCGTTTTTTCTTCCTCCATAATAAAAGCTTCAGCTGCAATCAGGCAGAGGTCCAGCAGGGGGCTACAGATGCTCCGCACAAACACACACACACACACACACACACACAAAGAAATACAGAAAGAAATGTCACACAATAACAACGACAACAACAATATTAATAATAATAATGATGATAACAATACTAATAATGAAAATAATAAAGTTGTTGTTCATGTATATTCTACGAAAACGTATTTATATAATTTTAATTTTAACATTTATTCTCATACAAAAACTCCGATTTTATAACAGAACTCGTAAGTTATCAGTAAATATGAACGTTAAATATATACATATCAAAAATAATTATTATATGATTACATTTTGTCTCAAATATTTCGGTTTTGCTTTCTATAGTTTAAAAACAACAACAATCACACAATGATTAGGTACATTAAAAATAGATTGTTCAAAAATCCTAACTTAAGGAGGGGTTTATAGTTTACTACTTCAGGCTCATATCTATATTATTGTTCTATACTATTAAAATCTACTGTAAAATACAACCAATCACAGTAATCGGTAACCTTAACCACTGACGTCAGACTATCTTTGTACCCACGTATTTTGTCCACTAGATAGCGACAAAACTCTTTTGTATCGAGGATTTCTGCTGAGTCGGCACAAGTGAACGACTGCTTGTATGCTAAATAGATAGATTTTGACCGTTTTCCGGCTGTTTTTTTCCTAATCCTGCCAGAAGATATATTAAAAATGGATCTTGCTAAAACCTTGGAAATAAAGCTAATCACACGATTTTGATGCCTGCGGGTAGACAAATCACATTTATATAAGATATATCTACAGTATATATATATATATATACTGTATATATATATATACTGTATATACACAGTATATATACAATTCTAGATGTTGCACAGTTGAGCTTGTTGTAACATTAATTCCACTGCTGGTCTTGGGGTCTTTTGTATGAGTCCCAGGTTAACACTGCCTGTTTTAGACTGATGTTGAATCAGACTGTAAGCCGTGCCATGTCAAGACAAAAAGCCAAACCAATGTGAAAAGATTCTGTGCAGACCTCATACTTCACTCTCTCTGAGGCCACGGCTCCCTGGTTGAATGTGGAAGAGTTTGTGAAGTGGGAAACTCCATTAAGGTGCTCTTTAAATAAAAACCCATTAATGGCTCCACCAACAGAGTTGAGGTGGGGACGGGAGGCTGGAGGGGAGGGGGCGGGGGTGTAGGGCAAGAACCTGGCGTTGCAACCACAAACAAAGCCATAAAGCCTTGATGTAGCTGCCTCTCATGTAGCATTCACTGCAGCTGAGGAGATGGTGGAGGTGGAGGGGTGAGTGGGGTGGTGGCCTGCAGTCTCAGACCTGTTGAATTAACAGAGGGCATTAACTGCAGCTGCCCCGTACATTATTGATGAGCGGCTCCACTCCTCAGACCATTAGGCTTTCTATTTTTCCTGCTGCAATTTTCTACAAGACGTCCCACTGTCTTCAAACACACTTGAACCGTGCCAGCAAGGGAGAGTTCAGGCAGAGGGCGCTCACTGCTCCCTGCAGGCTCCTATTACTTTACAGTCAACCGCTGCAATCGATGTTCGGCCACAATGCACTCACAGCTGTGAAGTGAAAGTAATCACGGCTGGACAGGAACAGAGTGATGGTCGTGGTGCTGCTGCAGGTGCACGACACAGTCTCACAACCTGGACAACAGCAACAGCTAACGGAAAACTTGACTGAACTTCCAGCAGAAAAGCCGAAGAAAAATGGCACTTATTACAAAGTAGAGACGGAGAGCAGCAACAGTAACAACAGCAACAACAACAGTAACAACAGTAACAACAGCAACAACAGCAACAACAACAACAACAGCAACAACAACAACAACAGTGAAGTTTATAGTTTAGAAAACTGAGAATGTGTGTGTCCCTGCAGAGCCATCACACACACACACACAGAAAACCAGACTTTTATTAGATCTTGACACCTTCCACTCCATAATTGGTATCGTCTTGTGACTCGCCCGAGCTGCCATCACACACACACCAGACACACACACACACTGTTGGTTTTATCTGCCCTCACACAGGTTGGTGCAGCTCACCTCACATCTGACCTCATCCTGTCACATGATTTAATGAGTGGAGTCACAAACCACAGTGTCAGGAGTGTGACAGCACAGCTTTACACAATGCACCAAAGATTAATGAGGTCATCTCCTCTCAAAGTGTACATGTGTGTGTGTGAATCATTTTTTGGGGGGGGGGGGGAATGAATTTTGATATCAGCAAAAAAGACAGTCAGCTCTTGGTGCGACAGCTCGTATCTTGGAATTGAGTATGTTTGTGTGTACTGTGTCTGTGCTGTGTGTGTTCAGACCACGAGGGAACATGTGGGATAAATGTCCTTCATTTTTCATATGGTGGTACCATTTGATCTAAATGTGTCTACAGTCGATCAGAGCCACATCCACACACTTACCCATTTCCATAGGCTGTTCCAACAAAGTTTGTATCGATTGTTCCGCTCGTTTTACCTTTTCAGTCAACAGACGTGAGACGCTGTACAAGGGATACAGACATGATGATGATGCAGTGATGGAGGCGGAAGCATTCGAAGACAGGACGTCAATGATTAAGGCGAGCGAGAAAGTTCAACTTTAGAATGAACTCTGTGAGCAGTCAGGAGTTGATGTGTATCTTAGAGGGATCAGTTTTTTCAACAAGAGACTGGAATAAACCTGTTCAAATGAGAGCTGTCAAATGTTCAAATTTAATCTGATTAATTACAATGTAACTGTGGATTATTGGTGATTATACATGATGATTCCACTTTGACACATTGTATCTTTATATCTCTGTTAGGTACGGAGCTGTGTTATTATAATATGAGTTTTCTATTTTTAAAAAGTTAATTATGTTCATTAAATATAACAAAAATAATTAAGTATAATTATTCAAGCGACACTTGATTAACAAATCTTCTGACTTGACGTGTTGTTCATTATGTAAATAGTCAGATTACCCTGTAGGGGTCGGTAAAACGTCTTAATCTTTATAAACATGAACATTTCTGCAGATAGATACGAAAAGTTGAGTCTGTGACGCCACAATTCATATCGCATCTGTCTGAAAAAACTGCTGAGACAAACAGGTCAATTTTGCAAAAAAATCCACTGGATGGCGACATAACACCAGTTCAATAACACCTATACAAGGTCGCTGAATCCACATTCTCTCTCTCTCTTCCATTCACACTCACACACACGAACAAGCATAGACGCACGCACCTTCATTCCATTTCTCCACCTGCACGGAGACGTTGCAAAAGCCTCCAAATGCGCCCGCAGTGTTGGAAGAAGAGAGCAGTAACAAATCACATCCCCGCGTTAATCCAGAAACTATGAGCGCTGCTGCCGCGGTGGAGCTGTGTCCGGCTGCTGCGTGGCTCTGGAGGTTTGGAAGTTACGGGTCAGAGCCGCTGGACCAGCAACTTTTATAGACTTTAAAGTCCGCCACGAAGTGGTCCTGCAGCCCGAACTGAGACCTGTTAGAGTCCGCTCCAGGATTGTACGCGTGCAGAGATTTTTAAACATCAACAGCAGCGGTTTCTACATCTGTGCGTCTTGGAAAAAGAAGGAAATGCTACGTATTTGAGTGAGAAGACGTCCTTGGGTTTATATTTCTGTCCGACAATGGAGAGGAAATGAAAGGGTCTTTTCCTGGGGATTACTGAAGGCACAACGACAGGTAGGGTTGAAAACTTCACTGTGCAACATTCATGTGTTAATGTCTGTGTTTTCTGCATTCATTACTTAAATATAAATTATATATAAATATAATTTAGGGGGGAAATCTGATAACTTAAAATCTTTGATTTAACAGTAATCTAAACGAAGCTTGTGATTTTTAATTATTTTTTTTTCCTCATTTGGTCACATTTGAAGTTTTCACACAGTCCTCATGCACACAGGTGTAGCCGTGGGCTGCAGGTCTGTGTTCAGATGGTCTGGTTCCATCGAGTCCAATAACTCATTTTAGGTGCAGTGAAGGAACTTCCGCAGGTCACATGAAACATTTCTGGTCTCCTACTTCCATCCCTGCATATCTGGTTAAGGAACACTGTGACTGGGGCACGAATCCTTCTGTCAATTCATTTATTCATTTAATCTGATGCTGTTCATCCCACCCATCTGCCCCTCCTCTCTCCTCCCAAGCAGTGTTCAAAAATGATAAATTCCATCCACACTACATGTGTTTAGGACAGAGGGTGACCGCCACTGTGAACATGGTTCTCCAGGGTGAAGCCCTGGCACTCAGACATGGAGTGGATCCACAGAGCCAGAGCTGGTCTTCTGCTTCATTGGAAAGCACCTCCAGTCATCCGCAGCTTCCCTGTGACCAGAGACAAATACGGTGCTGTTGCCACGTTGACAAGACACCTATAGAGTGTTTGCTGTACGTGCTGTCTGCTGCTATCACTTAGATATAAGATATTTATGACTGACCTTACACACCAGAGTGAATATTCCCATTTCTGCAACCACGTTCGAGCCTTGACTCTCCACACTCTTCCCCCTCCTTTTGTTTTACCCCAAGGCTTCATCCAGTTCTGGAAACAAAGATTCCTTGCTGCTCTAAGAGTGTTGGAGAAATGTTAGTGGTTTGCTTTGAAAAGAGTGATTTTTATGTCATGGTCATAAGACATTTTTATGGTCATACAAAGCAGAGTAATAAAAGATCACAACGCGTGACCTTATGATGCCAGGCGGAGGTATGTGTTATTAAGAACGAGGAATGTGGGAAGTTTGGGCAAGAAAATGGTGTAAAAATAACTTAATTTCTGTGGACAAATGTCTCAGTCTTTTGCTGTTTACAGTACGTATGTGAATTTATAGCACCAGGTTTTTGGCCGTGATTTAGTCCAACTTTTGTCAACAATATGACTGATTTTCAGTTTAGCATTAATTATTCAGCACAGACAATTATTATATTTTTTTACATTAAATATTTTACATTAACACATTTTGTCCACTAGGTGGCGTGATAACAGCCATCCTTACCAATGGCCGTTAACACCACCACATCCATCACCTATTGTTTGAGTGTGTTAGAGATAATCAGACCTGAATAATAATATTTTTTAAAAAACACTTTGACAAACAATATATTATTTGTTAGCGTTAATTGACGACTATATTTAATGTGATAATAGTGTATACCTGGTGGATTAGCCATTTATGATTTCATGCTTCACGTTACTGAAATGCAAGTCCAACTGTCTGCCTTCACAGCATTCCTGTGTTAGTTTTTGTCTCTCGACACCAAGACTACAATTCAATTACCAGTTCCAGCAGGTGAAAATTAAAATGGAGTAAATATAAAGCGGTGACGTTAGAACCTTTTCAACATTTTTCAGTTTTTCTGTAAATGTTTGTTTCATAACATTTGAATAGATACAGACAGATTAAAGGTCAGTTCTGGTCTGTGCTGCTCATGTTTGTCTGAAAGTACGCTGTTCAAATGAACACTTCCTGGAGCATCTTCAGGCCAGGTCTACATCCTGATCCTGTCTTTCCATTTATCTGCCCTCCGTTCCCCTGACAGACGATGTGCGGTCAGCTGTTTTTATTCCTCTTCCCCTCAATTAGTGCTATCATCGGACTTCATCCTGTGGAATACTGAGATGGTAAAAGCCTTACACTCCTATTACGGGATGATACAATTCAGCTGTGATTAATTGAAGTCCCCTCTGGAGCCGGAGCAGGCGTAAATCCTGCCTTTCACATTCACTGACAGGCAGGCCATTATATTGTTTTATAGATTGCCGTCAGTAGCCCTTGAAGCAGCCTGAAGCCCAATGTTGTTTTGGAGGCTTTTATTGTGCAGTGTTATTGGCTGGTCGTGCTGACAGGCAGAGCAAAGGCCACCCTGGGATTTCTGGAGATGGGATCCCTGTGACGGTTCCACAATATTTGACAGCAGCACTGCGCTGGAAGATTGGGTTCCACAATATTTGACAGCAGCACTGTGCTGGAAGATTGGTTGAAAAAAACAAAAACAAACAAAAAAAAAACTTGGTTCTGCACATCCTTGTTTTGGAAAAATCTATGGTTTTGGAGGTTTTTGTATCAAATGCCGTCCAAACCTTTTCCATCCACAAAACTGCCATGTAGTTTCCAAAGTGTCAGATACAAACAGATGTGAACATGTCTGATTTTCTGTGAGGTATGGTTCACGACTCGGCCAGAAATATTTTGTAAATTTATTTTTGTTTGTGTTTAATGTCATTGTATTTTATTTTTTTACACTCTGCAGTAATAGTTTAAAACAGCAGGTTATCTGAGAGGAGGGGGTGTGCATGAGCCACCTGGTGGTTCTAAAGGAGGAGGACATTTTGGATAAGATGTTTGAGTCAGCAGCGTCAGTATTTGTTCACCCTGGCAGCTTCATTCTGACTGTGTCAGATCAATGGGCCATAATGTGAAAGTATGGCAAAAGAAAACCTGCAGCAGGTTCAGGTCTGCAGCCAGCCATCGTTTCTCAACAACAACTGAAAGGTTCATTGTTAATTAGATTCAAGACTCTTATAATATGATTTGAATGTGTCGGAAAATGTTGATTAAATAGTTAAAATGTTAACTGGAATAACTTCAAAACCTGTTACAAGCCAAATCAATTCACATGGATGATCAATCTGACAATATAATCTCCACTACTAAGTTGTTTGTGATTAATTCACATTTCAGGACATTACAAAATGGGAAAAATAATTCATTTTATTACATGAATTAAAAATTATGTCCAGTTACCATCACACTGTTCAGGCCTGGTAATCAGAATAAAAATTAATTTTATTCCCAGAGGGAAATTGTTGATGTTTCAGTTTCTCTAATTACTCGAGTGCAAAAGAAAAGATTATGAAATCCTTCTGGGGACTGGAACTAATCACAGCAGTAACCACATGAGGTTGAATTATTAGCATTTTAGGAATTAGGGAGTGAACATTTATTACCATTGAGACTATTCTGCACTATAAATATGATTAGTTATTTGGGTTGGTTTATGTGCCCTATGACTAGTAAAGTCAATTGAACTTTTCTTGTTATCCATCAAATTTTCTGCTTTGATCAAAACCATGGCTGTCAAAAAGCTGCTTTGTTTCATTGGTTAGCAAAAAACAATTATTCAAATATATTAGGGAACATTTGTAAATCGCCATTTTCGTCCAGCACTTCTCAAAAAATCTTTTAAAATCATTTTTCAGTTTTTGATTTGGCAATTCTTATGAAAGAAGTTCATTTGTACTCATGGCTTTAACTAAATGATAAGCATTATTTCTTCTGTCATGCCCTCCACTGCTACTTCCTGTGAGTATTGAGTTAGCCTGTAATGAGTTAGCCTATATTGAGTTAGCCTGTTACTGTCAGACCGCTGTTCATCCAGTGAATCCTATGGCGTGGTTGTATTAGCTCATGCCTGGTGCAGGTACGTGTACTGTAATATCCTCATGTCTTTTCACTGCGATGGAAACACTGCAGCAGCCTCGTCAGATTTTCTTTTTCTTTCACCAGAACTTCAACTGTAGCCCAGTGGAGTGATGCTAATTCAGCCATTACTATTCTTGCATGAATACACAAGGATTCAGAAACCGCTGTGTATGATAATCTGTTGTATGTTAAAGTAAAATTTAATTATTATTATAATTTAATAACAATAATAAAAAGTAAATATGTGGTGAAGCGCATGTGCAGGTCAATTATGTGTGGAGAAAGAGGAGGAAGTGAAGGAGGAACCTTGAGTGTTTTATAGGTGCTATTTAAAGGAGCGTGCCCACTACGGGCTGGCGGCAGTGAACTGTAACCACTGACAAAAGATCAAGACAATAAACAAACAAATTGGTTTCCTGGAAGCCCGCAGTGTCCAAGTCAGCCGCCTGGGCTGATCCTTGTCAGTGCGGCAGGCTGGTTTTTCCTCAGAGATTAGGCTGTGAAGCATGACTCCATCTCTTATTTATTCATGCCCATTTGCTTGTTTGTGTGTGTGTGTGTGTGTGTGTGTGTGTGTGTGTGTGTGGAAAAGAGAGAAAGTGAACGGTTTGAAGGAACAGGTGGACAACATTCAACTTCATTGGCCATACTGGGAATACTGAGTTTTCAAATCAGGCTCAGGTCACTTTCACATGTGGCCCTATATTAGATATGTATACATAGGTGGCGCCAGAGAGGGGTTAGGAGATGCTCTGTGGAATAAGCACAGCTCTGATCTCAGCTGTAGAGAATGAATATTTCCAGTGAATTCTGCTGGAGTTACTTCTGGGACCTGCACATTTTTATACAACCCATGGCAGACGAGAGTCTTAACTGAGGCTTAGGAATCTGTTCTTCCATGGAGGTGGTTTTTAGCTTTGTCAGGCATTAGGGTTGATCTCCTGCTTCTCTCTCTCTCTCTCTCTCTCCCCCTGTTCACCCCCTCTTTCTTTCTGTTCCTTTATTTTGAGTAAGCCAGTATTTGGCAGCTTTCACTCCCAGTGTTGTGCCTCTGTGGCAGATTCCCATCAACTCTTTCTGTAGCACAGCAGAGAGAAACTCAAGTCTCCAATCCCTCAACCATTGACTCACTCAGAAGATTGGGGAATTGCAGATTTTTAAGGAGCACCACGTCTAAACCCAGCTTCCTGTGGGAGTGAGAGGAGTCTGAGCAGAGCCCCCACCCCCTCCACATCCTCTCTCTGTGCTGCCCCAGGGTCC